AAAATTAATTTTATAAGAGATTTAAATGGTAAAATATTAAGTTTAAAAGCTTAATTTGAATTTCATTAAAAAAATAAAATTATAAATAATCAAATTTTATATTTTCAAACTCAATTAAGTAAAATTAGGGTCAAATTTACAAAAAAACAAATTCAATTAAGTGAAATCAGAAGGTTAAAATTATAAGAAAATCAAAATTTGAAGTCAATTAAAGTTTAAAATAAAGAAATTTAAGACTAAAAACCTTTTTTAAAAAAAGAGCATGATTTTGGAAACCCAATTAAATGAAATCATGGTCAATTTTTTTTTAAAAAAAATTGAAGATTAATCAAAAATAAAATTGAAAATATCCAAGGTTAAGAATTGAATTAAAAAATACACTAAACTCGTACGGTTATTTTAAGATTCAATAGAGATGAAATTAAATTAATTCTAAGAATCAAAATTCAATTAAGAATTTAATTAAATAAATGAAAAGATTAAAAATTAAAATTAAAATAAAAGATTTTCAACCTAAATTAACTCATATAACTTTCTAGTCCCTTGCATTATAAATATTAGCTAAACTATTTATGGATTTTTTTACTCAAGGCACCATCCACAATATTTATCTTTTCCAAGTGATATTAAATCCTGCAATCATAAATACCTAATAGTTTTTTGTTTTAGGTATCATCAACAACATTTCAGTTTTTTTAAAATAATTTTGAATCTTTTTAATTTTCACTCTTTTTAATTTATTTTTCTTTTAAATTTGATGTTATTTATTTTCATTGCTATTTAAATAAAAAAAAACTATGGTGGTAAGTTTTTTATTTGAGAATTCATTTTTAATTTTATTTTTAAATATTAAATTAATTAAAAATTGAATTTTTTAATTAAATATTTATCTACGATTTCAAAAATTATAAATTAAAAAAATTAACCGAGATTTTATTTTATTATGGCTAAATAAAATACCCTTAAAAGTAAAACAATACTTAACTTGGGCTAGGGGATTATTATAAAAAAAAAAAATCCGCTCTTAGAGCACAATGTTATTGTTATATTGCTCTTAAAATAACAAATTACAAAGCAGGTGCTCTTTTTACTCTCAGATTGGTTTTTTTATTTTAATCATTTTGCCTCGTGTTATTTGTTCTTTTAATTTATATAAATAATATTTTTTTAATTTTTTTTTTACTTTATTTTGGATTATCACTGTTTCAAGCAAATTAAATTATCAATTACAAATCATAATGAACATGTTTAATTAAAAATATAAAAAAATCAATTGTGATTCATAGTTTTTTTTTGTAAAATATCACGCCATCGTATTCATATTTCAAAAGTATCCTGACATCTTGGCATCGTTTATTTTTTGACATTTAATTAAACAAAAAGATTTCAAAAAAACCAAATTATTATACTTTATGAAGTTAATTATCAGGTTTACTGGTGTGGTGCTATGATAAATCAGTTTTTCAGCTCACGGGTTTGACGTTATGTTTTTTTTTTTAAATAAATTTGATTTTGATTATCTATTTTTTTATCATCTAATTAAAAAAAATATTTTTGAAATAAATACCATATTATTTAATTTTAAAGAATTCATACACATGTTTGCAGGTACGGGGATTCATTCGGTTCAGGTATGGGGGTTCATTCGGTTCTTGGTTTCGGAAGTTTTAACTTTGTTTTTTTCCTTTCAAAATTAACCTGGTCGATTATATTTAATAATATTCTCAAAAACAAAATTGAACTCTTAATATTTTTCAGCTCTTAAAGAAAATTTTTGATCCAACATATGGGTAAATGTACTATTTTTCTAAACGGCAAGAAATACTTTACCATGCGTTTTGTACTTTTAGTTTCATTTAATTGTCTATAAGGAGAAAAGCCCGGAAATGATGTCATTTTTCACGTTAATCTAACACTTCAACAGCATGCGTTGGTGTAACTTAACCGGTCATATGACATACACAATGTGATTAGCTCTAGAAAAACATTAAAATGGATGTCTTTTATAGATTTCTGAACATACTAACCAAAACAAAGAGGACCAAAATCAAGTGAATGGGTTCTGTATGTTAAAACCTTGAATCCATTAATTTTCTTGTGGGTGTAAATATATTTTCGAAAAAAAAAAAAACCGCTCCTTCTAGAATTGTTTCAGCATTTATTCGGTACATCTTGTAATAATTAGCCCAGTTCTACTGCGAGGAAAGAAAATATATTTTTGACCGAATATTCTCTACCAACTAGGGTTTGCTTTTCTTTTGCTACTTATAAAAGTTCGTCATAACTCACTTTCTCCGTCACTCATTGTTTTTGCTCTTTCACTGCAACAGAAGAAGAAAAGACTCGAGGGGGAGAGATGGAGCAAACCTTCATTATGATCAAGCCCGATGGCGTCCAAAGAGGACTCGTAAGTTTCTCCTATTTATTTCCTTGAACTGGGTTTCTTCGTGCTATCAATTTCTTGGTTGACTTCTTTATAATAAGTTATGGATTTAGTGCCTCCTTGTTGAGAAGAAAGAGAAAGATTAGATCCATCATGGGTTTGAATTATTTTACTAGATAACGAGCTTTTTAGCCCAAACGAGAATTTTTGTGTTTCAATTGTGTGATAATTGGCTTGAGTTTTCTAGAAATATCAATAGATTTCTGTGCTCCTCAGGTTGGTGAGATTATTTCAAGATTTGAGAAGAAGGGATTCACTCTCAAAGGTAATCAATTTGCTATTGATTTGTTTAAAATGCTGTAAACTTCTGTGTATGCAGTGATAAACAGAAAATTATCATTTTTCAGTTACATTTGAGTATTGATTAAAATATCGTGGTCGTTACATTTATTATGAACTGTTTGGGTTTAGGTTTGAAGCTACAGACTGTTGAGCAATCTTTTGCTGAGAAACACTACGAGGACCTGGCCAAGAAGCCATTCTTTCCTGGTCTTGTTCAATATATTATTTCTGGCCCAGTTATTGCAATGATTTGGGAGGGAAAAGGTGTTGTTGCCACTGGCCGTAAGATTATCGGAGCCACAAATCCTGCAGCTTCTGAACCTGGAACTATCCGTGGTGATTTCGCTATTGATGTTGGGAGGTTAGTTATTTTTCGAATTCAAATTTGCCTCTCGATGATTCGTGATAGTGTGTATCTGCTGCGACAAAGATCGGTTCTTGCTAAGGAATTGACTCGGCGTTTTAATTTTGAAATAACTATGGCTGTAGCATGCTAATCACTATTTGCAAACCATAACCCATGTATCTCTAACATCAAGTTTCATTTGGCATACCCTATTAAAATATGCATGGATTTATCCAAGTATAAAACTAGATACTTGGTTGCATCTTCAAATCAGTGATATCTAAATATTACTGCTGCGTTGCAGGAATGTTATTCATGGAAGCGACTCTGTTGAGAGTGCTACTAAGGAAATTGGACTGTGGTTCCCTGAGGGCCCTACTAACTGGCAGAGCAGCCTGCACCCATGGATCTATGAGTAAAACTTGTGCCAGTTTGGAAGTCGTTGGCCATCGGCCATCCTTCTTATTTAGCTTCTCATGTTTGTTTTATCAGTGAACAATAAATGTTGACTTCTAGTATGTTCAGTCTGTATTCTGCAACTTTGCTTTGTTTAGTTGCTTAAGTTAATCAGCATTCTTATCAAGCTCTATAGTTTTCTGAGTATCAACAGTCGTCATCAGTAACATTAAATCTTGAGTTCTATTTTATATGGAGTGAATATTGAAGACAAATGTTAGCTTGCATGCATAGCATGTTTGTTTTAACAGATGTTTATCTGTTAATCTGTTGTCATCATGTTGCACAAATGGATTTTAACTACAGACCAATTGTTTTAGGCCATTGTTTAAGCGAAGGAAGCATGTTTTTCCCAATACCAAATACAAGTTTTCGAGGTGAAAAATCCTTGGATTATGCCATATCTTAGGTTAGGATGGAAAGCAACAGTGAAAGTAGAATACTTCAAAGGTCTGATTCCAAGTACATCTTTCTGAAAATTGTTCACATCGTTCCGCGTTCATTTGTGCACGAGTGGCCCTTTTATCATTATAAGCGCATAAGTAGCCCTCTTGAGAGAGAATCGTGAGAGTTGGCACATGCAAAGAACTACTAAACGAGCTCTCAAAATCAAAGATATCAATCCAAATGAACCAGAAATTTCAGATATCAATCAGCAACAGTGTATATCCAGAAGACTAATAATCCACGCCTAACATCGAGTTCAGATTGAGGGAAAGTATCCAAACCTAACGTCGGTCCAGACTGAGGGAAAGGATGCTCGCTGCTTGAATCGTGGGCTTCAAAATGGTTTGGCTACTTTCACCCCCTATTTTAGAAATTCAAGCAGCCAGACGTGGCCAATCTGTTCCATGGAAAAGAACCTGAAATTATAAAAGAGAGCAAACAGAGGCAAGAACCAAAAGAGCTGGATCAGAATTCCCGCTCAATTTCGTACAATAGGTAATAAACAACTCAAACCTACCTAGAGTAAAATGGGAGGCTCTACTGTTTTGCGTGGGATGCTAGAAATGAACCACTGCATTCGGAACCTAAATGGAACCACACCTGTCATCATCCTTAAAAACTCATCAAGTTTCTTCTTCCCTTTTTCCGCTACAAGAAAATTGACAAACTCAAAAAAACATTTTTTGGAGATTAAATGGGGGATTCACTACATAGCTTCTGCTGAAGTTTTAATGAGAAGCAATTTATCATGTACAAAACACCATCCAACTAAAAGGAACAAGGAGAAGAACGTGGCAGGAACCCAAATGTGCCAAATGCTGGCAGTGGTTCTTCTTTTGCAGGAAAATTAACTCTCCAACTACTATCCTATCGTGTAAGGAGGGTGTAAGAGGGCAAGTCTTCTAGCCGTGTTATGTCTTCGGACAGAAGCTCCCTCTCCAGTTGACGGCGTGTAGATTTCATAACCGCCTGGTGAAAATATCATAGAAAACAAATTTAAAAAATATAGTATTGTGTTTTAAGGTCTACGCAGATATTAGAGAATCAATTTGATTGATATCTTAAAGAGCCTCGGTGCATCCTGAACACTTTCAAGTGCAGCATTCATAGCATTTATGCAAGACCTCAAAATTGCCCCAACAGTCACACTTTCATGATAGTATGCAAGATCCAATGGTAAATCATGCAACATGGTAGTGTTAAAGTCTTTCCCTATCTCTAAA